GCAGGAGCGTCATGCTGAGGTCTGGTTGCAAAAGACAGTCCAGTATCTGACAGATTGCAAGGGGATTGCCAGTGCTGTCTCGTCGAGCCTGATCCTGCCTGTGACATTTGAACCTGCTCCTTCAATGCATTCTGTCCCTAAGCACTGGTGGCTGATGCAGGTGTATGCCCAGGATGTCCTGCAAAGATCAAGGCCACTATCACATCACAATATGGTCGGATCTTAAAAATAGATTCTACTAAAAAGTGGCCAGAAAACTAGCAGGACACAGCAGCACTACCTGGGCAACCAATGTTGGGAATAAGCATGGACTGGTGATCGTGTCCGTGCTCACTGCCAGTGAAGGTTTTGGTCTTGGGCCAATGACTGAAGACCTCATCAAGCGATACAGAGTAGCTGGGGTGGCTCCTCCCGAGGTACTGTATGTCGACCGAGACTGCTGTGACAACACTCTTCTGAGGAGGATGTTTGAAGAGTGGGAGCAAATGACCATCCGGTTAGATGTATGGCACTTCATTCTGAGGTTTGCTGTGGGTTGCACCACCGACTCTCACCAGCTGTATGCCACATTTATGAGTCGCCTCAGCCATGGTATTTTCATGTGGGACCAGGTCGACCTGACGGCCCTGAAGAAGGCAAAGCATGCAAAGCTAGAAGCTGACTGGAAACCATCAACCGAGGCTGATGTGCTGCGCTGTATCAGCCGTAGCGAGCTAGCCCTACATTGCAGGAGAACCACTCCTGCAATGGGAGACCAAGAAGACCCTGGCGATGATTGAGAGCCATATTCAGGCCTTTGATGGAGATGCTGGTAGTGACACTCTGGGAGTCCCACTAATAAACTCAGCCTGGATGAGAGAGATCTTGAAGTCCCAGCGGAAGCATGTGGCCTGCATTCAGGATCCTCTAGGTGTGCAGCTCTAAATGCAGACGGGCACTGTAGTGAAGGGAGGGCACCGTCTTCTTCCAGGCATATCTTTTGGATGGACTTGCAAGGTGGAATGAGGACCAGGCTGTGGCAGCAACATCTGATGAGCAGCAGCCACATTCCTACAATCACCTTCTGCGTCATGCTGTCAATACTCTTGCAGAGGAGGTTATGGGCAAGAAAATCATCCCTTATGTTGGTCCAAGATAGTACACCGGTAGATAACTATTTGTTGTTTTTGGTGACAGTTTCATTCAAGTGTGCACACACCATTTAACCACTGAGTTATAACATAATATCCTGGTATATTATCTAATTGTCAATGTTTTAATATTTTAAAGGTGACCTTATTGGAGTGGAATATCTTTACCAGAAAACTGGTAAAGTTCTGCAGGACTACAACTTGGCCATTGAAGAGTCAGAGACCACTGAGGTTGTTATAGAGGTGGATGAAGGTTATGCTGATCTTGAGGAGTTTCAGGACATCACTGTCCCCACCTTTGACACAGAACGGACACCTGCTGCTTCTTCACAAGCATCAATGTCTGCAGCATCTGCAGCATCATCTCCAACCCCTCCAGCAACCAGCCCCATGTCATCACTCTCTGTGGTCCCTCCATCACCAGTGACATCTCCTGTTTCCAGCTCACCGCACACTCAATCAAAGCTCTCTCCTGGAGCACAAAGCTGCGAGTTTTACCAAAGTATTCATAGAGGTTTCAGTACTCTAATGTATACTTGTCATATTGAAAGACATAAATACAAATTTAAATAAATATTTACCTTTTTCATGTAGTCCCAGTGGACCAATTATACGCAGAAACTGATCTTCCAACATCAGAAGAGAACACTTCACATGATGTAAGTGTAAGTCATTCCATTTGATTCCAAGGATTCTCCTTAAGCATTTGGCATCAAAAGCATCCAATTTCTTCTCTTGAGAAGTCATTAACTGCCAAGTTTCGCTGCTGTAAAGGACTGTGGACAGCACATTGGACTTATAAAAGCGTAATTTGTTTTTGAGCGTCATTTTCCTGGTTTGCAATATATTTTAAAATGCTCTACCTTTTCTTGTTGTCTATGAAAACCTCTCTTGGGATTGGGTGGTTGCCTTGACTGCTGCTGATAACTGCTGATGTTGTCCACAAGTAGCTGCAGATCCTGAGTGTTGTTTGCTAATGGAGCTATATCATCAGCAAAGTCTAGGTCTGACAGTTTTCGTCCCTCCAGCCATCAGAAGAGAACACTTCACATGATGCAAGTGTAAGTCATTCCATTTGATTCCAAGGATTCTCCTTAAGCATTTGGCGTCAAAAGCATCCAATTTCTTCTCTTGAGAAGTCATTAACTGCCAAGTTTCGCTGCTGTAAAGGACTGTGGACAGCACATTGGACTTATAAAAGCGTAATTTGTTTTTGAGCGTCATTTTCCTGGTTTGCAATATATTTTAAAATGCTCTACCTTTTCTTGTTGTCTATGAAAACCTCTCTTGGGATTGGGTGGTTGCCTTGACTGCTGCTGATAACTGCTGATGTTGTCCACAAGTAGCTGCAGATCCTGAGTGTTGTTTGCTAATGGAGCTATATCATCAGCAAAGTCTAGGTCTGACAGTTTTCGTCCCTCCAGCCATTCAATCCCCTTGCCAGTTGTTGCATTCCTCATCACCCAAACAATGGCGATCGCGAACAGCATCGGGGACAGGATACATCCTTGCCTTACACCGGTCACCACCTCAAACCAGTCACTATATCCATCTTCAGTCCTCACTCTGCATTTGGAGGTGTCGTAGATCTGCTCAATGGCCCCTACGACTTTTGATGGGATGCTGTAGGCAAGCAGAATCTTCCAAAGTGATGGCCTGTGCACGCTGTCGAACGCTTTGGAGAAGTCGATGAAGCTATCTGGAGGTACCTGGAGTTCTCCCCACTTCTCAACAATTCTCCTCTGTGTGAAGATTTGTTCCGTGCAAGAGCGTGTTGGCCGGAAGCCTGCCTGTTCTTCACGCAGCTCAGAGTTTACATTGTCACGTATTCTATTGAGGATGACCCTGCAGTAGACTTTTCCCGGAATTGAGAGCAGAGTGACCCCCCTCCAGTTATCACACTCCACCAGGTTGCCTTTCTTCGGAATGCACACCACCTCACCATTCTTCCAATCCTCTGGTACGATGCCTGAGTTCCACACCTGGTTGAACAGACTGCACATCCAGGTGATCACACGCTAAGATGTTAATGTTGATAATTTGCTGCAGCTTGGAAGACTGGAATAAAGTTCTTACATTCCAGTAACCTATTCGAGTTACCATCTTGGCAGACAGGACTCGAGGTCAGCTTCCGTTTGGCTTTCACTGGCATCCTTCGTGGAGACTCCAGCAGGAGTCGACTGTTGTCCCAGCTGCTTTACTCTTGGAACCCTTTGGACTGTTTTCGTAGCAATGATTTTTTTTTATAGGAACAAGGTGCTAACCTGAAGCCTAACCCTCCTCCTTTATCCAGGCTTAGGACTGGCTGGTGGCTGAGCTCACCAGGCGGAGTTACCGCTAAGCGGTTGACTTAATGTAACCGTTTTCTTCTCCATTATGAAAGATAAGATTTACTGCTCACAACATGGTCTTCGACAGACTGCAAAAATCCAAAATACATAATACAATGTTAATCAAAAGCAATAATACATGAGACGAGGGTGTGAACAATTGCTATGTGATCTCAGCTGTGTTGTGCTGCTGCATCATAGTTGTGATCAAATAGTAGTTGATCACACCATATTTTGTATTATTGCTTAAATGTTTATTAATATTGGTTGTTTTATGTTTTCCCAGGTTTAGCAGGCGTTGCAAGTCAAAGGAACAGGAGATTTTGAAGCAGGGTATCTAAGCCCCAGACGCACCCATGGCAGGACCTGAGAAGCTTCCTGTGGCTATGCAGAAATGACCAACTCTCTATTCAGGCAATTTTGCTGAGTCTCACCTTTTTATCCTGCCACCAAACACTGCTGGGGTAGCAGCAGGAGTAAAAGACTCCCTTCTATCGTTTCTGCACTGTCCCAGCTTTCAGATGTTTCTGATTCTAATCGCACTATAGCTCGCTGTCTCCAGCTCCCTAACTATTTTTCTATTAACTTTATAACTTTCATAGAATATTACCTGTTTTACTGGTTTTGATTTTACTCTTGTTTAGCAATTCACGCAGCAGGAGGTGGTTTGACTAGTCGTTCTCATTTCCCCTTAATTGCAAAAAATTAAGTAATAAGATGAAAATTAAGATGTTTATGCAAGTCATTTCTGACAAGTTTTAAGCTGGGCTAGAGTAAAACAGATATAATACAATGAAATTATTTTAAAAGTTAATGAAAATGCATTGCTACCAGTCCTGAATCCCTCAGAGCTCTCTCTCCCATTCTAAAGCACAGTGTTTCAGTCAAAACTCATAGACACTGAGATGTTAAAGGACATGCTACAGGCAATTCAAAAAGTCTACTTTTCAGATTTTATACATTTAGAGGGCATTTGGTAGTTAAATGTTTCAACTGCCCAATGCATTTAAGAAATGAGAGATTGTAAAAATGATGAATAACAATCTAGGGGCTATTGTTGAAGGCTGGGAATTTACTAAGTCATGTTTTTGTTGTTTGTATTTGAAGTTTTTCGGTTTTTGAGCCCCTCTCTCTTTTAGAATTGCTGACATTTTTACTCGATCGGCGCTCCAGTCAATCTACTCCACACCCAATCACGGGCCCCCTCCTTGCTCGGGCCCCGGGGCTTAAGCCCCACCTAGCCCAATGGTTAAAACGGCCCTGATTGCAATAGTCCAGCCTGGATAGAACAAGAGCTTGAATAAGGAGTCTGCAACGGGGAGGAGCATTTTCATGACGTATAAACAAAAGTGAAAGAAAAGCTGCTCAGAGGTTATTCAACAGCTTGACTCTGGGTGAGTTTATATGTCCTGTTTTTGCGATGTTTTATGCAAGTATTCTGATTTTTTTAGATTATTTAAATAATTTCAAATATATTTTGCAATTGCAACATACATTGATATTGTTTTTATGTTTTAAATGGTATCTTCTCAGAAGCAGTTTCATGGGTTCATTGTGATCAGTCTGTATTCAGATACAGTGAAAATGGCGACAGAACCTACAACACTTCCTGGTAAGAGACTGTTTAGACTAAATATCAGATATCAGTTCATTTAGTTTGTCTTAGTATAAGAGTTAATTAGTCTTGTGGTTTTGGAAAACATTCTTTATGTATCATTTGGTTTATTTTATAGTGTCAAATTGTTATTAAATATAACACATAGGTGTATATCTTACGCATACATTTACTCATAAATGGTTGAATTACTGTTCAATATGTTTGAAAAATGGCACAGTGAAAATGTTAATTTGTTAACTGTATGTAACAAGTAAAAACTATGAATTACCACAAAATTTATGGTTAGAAACAGTGAAAGAACATTCCCAGAAGTCCTTGTATTACACATCACATATGATTACATATATTCGGGAATTTAATCCTGCGGCGCAAAAAATCTGGTCGGGTCCCTCTACACTAAAGGTCTTTGGGGTCAATATGACTTTGGGAGATTGAGGGTTAAGGTAAAAAGAAATGAAATATGTACGATTATAAGCTGTAAATATATACACAGGTATCCTGTAAAACAGGGACATGCAGAGAGTTCTTCAGAAGCAGAGGCTCAAATGTAAAAAAGGGGCATCTATAATTATAAATACATTTGTTTTATGTTTATATTGTTTTATTTGTAGTTTGATCAGGCAGAGTATTGTAGCAGAAAAAAAAAACATTTATTTTTTTCAACACAACCTGAAATGTGACAACCACATAATCAGACATTATATACTGTATAATTCGTTTATAAATTTAAACTTTTACATTTAATTAAAAAAATTGTATTGAAATTCTTCAAACATCACATAGTCAAGGCATCATCTATCTTACAGTTGTGGCCAAAAGTGATGTCTGAAGCAATATTTGCAAACTATTTGCTTTTAATAAATCTTCCTGAAGTTTTCTCCCAAAGTTGGGCTTTATTGGAAGACCTGCATGTATCACACGACTGTTCCAAAGGAACAGACACAAAGACGAAATTCAGCTGAACAAACAGGCTTTAATAATCCACAGGCAGGTAAATTCTGGGCAGGTTAGTGACACACGCAGTATAGAGGTTCAAGACCCGACAACAATAGGCTTGTTTGAGATGCGCCTCGACTCGCCTGAAATGTAGGCGAGAGCAGGCGGCTGCAGTGAGGGGAGGAGTGAAATAAGCGCAGTCAAGACGGACAGCTCTGACCTCTCGAAGTGGAACAGATACCTACGAGATCAAAGACAGATATCGCATTATTCACACTCACGTGCTGTGTTGCTAATAAACATGATATGATTTCAGTTCTGTTGCTTTTATATGAAAATAAATATGATGAACAAGACACTCAAAGTGCTTGCTATTTAATTCCATACGAAAGGTGGATTTTTCCTTTAATACAAACATGTATTTTAGATTTTTATAGAAATATGACAACAATCACATATCTCACACAGAGATCACACTGTCACAGTGTTTGGGGATATTCATGCATAATTTAAATACATAATCACATGAAACCAGATAAAAAAATTTTAGAAGAGAACACAGCATCACAGTTGTCTGAACCAATGAGCATTAAGCTGTGTCGTCAGTCAGTCGTTTCCCATCATGCTTTTGATCAGCGCAGACGTGGAGAGCAACTGCGCTCGACTGCTCAATCCGACACAGCCGCCTCGCCGTCGCCAGAGTTTTTTGGCACACGTCAGCATGACATCAGAGCAAGTCGGACGTAACTCGGACAGTTTTCTAACCGGCATGCATCTCGCGGTGATCAGTTCTGCGCAGATTTTGCTCATCTCAAACAAGCCTAATGAATAGAAAGGGAGCCACTTAAATACAGACCAGACTAGACACACCTGAACAGAATGACACAATCAGACACAAACGGGAAACTAGGTCAGGGGACTAAACTAAGCTGGGGCCCATTTCAGAAAGGAGGTTAAGTGAAAACGCTGAGTATGTTAACCCTGATATGAGGGAAACTCTGGGTTTTCTGTTTCAGAATGGGAGGTTTGTCAAACCCGAGAAAGCAGGGTAAGTCAAGCCCGTTTCTGAAAGAGAAGTAACTTATACTCAGAGTCAGTCACCGTGGTAACTTACTCTGTGAACCTAACCTGGTCAGGAGCAGGTTAAAGCGCAAGCGATGTTTAAATACTTAATTCATGCACACTGCAAAAATGCTTTTCTTACTAAGCATTTTTTTTCTTATTTCAAGTACACATATCTAAAAATTCTTAAATCAAGATGGATTGTCTATATAATTATTCTATATAATTCTATATAATTATTCGGAGTGTCTATTACTAAGTGCAAATTTACAGTAGCTCCGCCCTCCAATGTGACACAAGGTTAATACGAGGCGCGTGAATAACAGCTTCAGTGGTGTAGGCAGTAACACGTTGGGCGCGGAGAACTAGCTTGTGATGTGATTGACCAGGTTTGAGTCTGGCTTTTGCCGAGCTCGCTCTTCTCTCTTTTCCCATCACATATCACATTAGAATTTATTTTCAATAAAAATTAAGAAAATGTTCTAAAAGTGGAAGTAAAGGGCCTAACAAGTGTTTAATAATGATAAAAGTATTTATAATTGTAATAAATATAATCGTTTACACTCTTGTATTATTATTGCATCCCGTTAATGTACAACAATACTGAGGTGCAAATAGTATAATGGCATCTAATTATTATTTAAACTTATTGCAAAGAACTGCTACTTTTACATGGTAAATAGAATATGTCACTATTTTCACTAAGTGTAAATAGCATCTAGAGCTATTTGCACTTAGCCTGCTGTAAATATGATCTATCGCTAAGAAAGTATGCTAATTCCATTTAGTGTAAATAGCCGCTGCCGTATTTTTCTTACGCTATTGGCAGATCATTTGTAAAATAAGAAAAATGCACTTAAATTATTATTATTTTATTTTATTTTTTTTGCCCGTGGGATACCATGAAAATGAATAGCCGATTAATTCAATAACCTACCGTTCTGCCAGTTTTGACCTCTGTGATATTATAACAGTGATAAGAATTAAACTTGTATTGACCCTGAAGTATGCAGACGTCTTTTTGGCAGGAGCTGTTGCCATGGTGAATCGTAATATCGGAACTCCATTGATCATGGCTTTTCATAATCATGGTGCACCCGCTAAACTCAGAGTCAACCTACTCAGAGTCGATTGAACTAACTCTGTTCAGCTGTTCTGAAACCGAAAAATCACAGTTTCCCATCTCAGAGTAAGTCAACTCAGAGTTCAAGTTTTAACTCCGAGTTGGTTGAACCTCTTTATTGAAACGGGCCCCAGGAGAACATGGAAACACAGAAAGCACAACAACAAGGTCCATATTGTAACAGCATGACTTGTCATAAGTCAGGTTTATAATTTCCCAAAGGTGTTCAATGGGTTTAATGTCAGGGGGCTGAAGAGGACACTTGAATACTTGAGAGCATGAACTATTGTGCTGAACTTTGTTGCATGTGCGGTGTGTTTGGGATCGTTATTATGTTGGAAAATAAACATTTGATCTCAAAACAGATCCTCCATATTTGGCAACATTGTGTCCTACATGATTTTTTGAGGTCCACCTAATTGGCCCAATGAAGGTATCCAACGGTGGCTGAAGGTTTCCTGTGTGTGCGGTCTTTTCAATGCACAAAGTAATTTAATTTCAATTAAACTCTAATCTGACTCCATTTTATTATGACCTTGAATTTAGCTTGAAATGCAAATCAGTTGTTTGTCCATTTCTAATTATTCATATTTTGGCATTTGATTATTCTAGTTAACCCTTTACTTTAGTTTACTCGTTCATTAGTCAGTCATTTAGAAGATGTTTTGAGGTGCTTCCACATTCAGGTGATTTTCATTGTCCTGTCAAAAATGCTCACCAATCTTCCTTGAGCAGCCACAGGACTTTACATTTTGTATGGTAGTGGTCTCACTGTGCTTTGAAATCATTCTATGGACATTGTGACCATTCACATCAAGCACATGAGCAAAATTAGACCAAATCCATAACCGACTGACCAGATTTAGCTATGATAAAACTAAAAATAAAGTTAATACCTGCCACACAGTGATGATTTATTGAGTTATAGGCTGGCCATAATAGCTCCAATCATGGTTTGACCGCTTGGCCAAAAATGAGGTCAACACAATTTGGTATGTTTTAGTGCATCATGACAAATGATATTAGTGAAACTTGGAACACGTACATTAGTTTTACACTCCAGGCACAACTTCACAACATGCATACAGAATATTAAATAAATATTCAGTAATACATTTCAATAATTCATTTAAATAAAGTGTGAAGAATCTAGTTTTTCACATTCAGAAATTACTTTTGGCCACTACAGTATGTCACTTATATAACAATATAAAAGCACAAGGAATAAAAGTCGTCATCTTTATTTCTATAACGCTTTATCCCATACAGATTGTGTCAAAGAAGCTTTACAGTCTTAAACAGGAAAATAGTGTATCGATAATACAAAAAAAATTCAATTCTGCTGTAGAGCAGCTCTAAAAAGAGGAAAGAAGAAGAAAAAAAGGAAGCTCATGTCTCTTTGTTTCAGTCCTGAGCACATGTTCCCTGTGTCGATAAAGTGAATAAGTAGATGTTGGAGCCACAGGCAGGAAACTGTGCAATGGCGATGAGTGGTCCTTGAGTATTTTAGTGAGGGTACGTATGGTGGCCTCATCACGCCTCTCACTCAATGAGTGGAGAGATGAAGTCAGAAGTCCGACAGCAATGATTTTGAGCTCTTTCCAACTCATCAGAGAGGCCTTTACGCAGTCCACCCCAAACTGGGCTAGCATACTCAAGAACTGGCCGTATGAAGCCCTGTCAAGTATATTTGCATTAAACATTACATTGAAGACCTGCTCTCTTTGCAGCACTAAGATCAGTTTAAAAGTGGAGAGTCTCATGATTACATGTCCAGAAATGATGGGAGATATGGGAAATTACGTTGTCATCAGAGCACATTATCAATTGTGATTGCGTTCTATATCGGTGCGCTTCACTCAATTGCTCAAGGCCCAAGCGAATGCTCCACCCATGTACTGCTCATGCTCACTACTAAGTGCTCTTTAGAACCCCTTTAGTAGATATTTATTAGGACCTCCTAACATTTAGAATTGCATCACGGTTCTGTTTATGCATGAAGTTGAACTGGATAATCCAGATGGTTGAGAACCGCTGTAGTAAATGTCATTATAAATGATGCAGAACTATCTAGACCACCTTCACCTTGAGCTGTCAAATGTATAAATATGATTTTTACTTATGATTTTTAGTGACATTTCAGTTTATTTCCTGTTGTTGATTTCTCTCCTGTGCTTGAAGCAGATGAATGTTTTATTCTTCTCTTGACGATACACTTTACTTTGTCTTGTTTTACATTTATCATCAATATTTTCTGTCTCTTTCAGCGATGTCAGCGATCTTCTCCAGTACAGATGATTCAGTGATCCGGATTCTTCTGATGGGCAGAAACGCTTCTGGGAAAAGCTCATCTGGAAATAAGATACTGGGACAAAAGAGGTTTAAAGTTCACATACAACAGAAAAAGAATGAAGTTGAAGATGAATTTGGTGAAGTTTGTGAGGGCCATACACAGATCTGTGGGAAGCAGGTGCATGTGATTGATTGTCCGGATCTACTGGATCCAAATCTGAATAAAGAGCAGCTGGAGATGTTGAAAGAGCAGCTAGTCTCTCGATGTTCAGAAGGTCTCAGTTCAGTTCTGCTCACTGTTCCTCTAGTGAAAAATGTGGAAAATGAAGAAGAGATTTTGGCTTTTCTTCGATATTTACTAGGACCTCATATTCAGAAATACATCATGATTCTGTTCACACATGAAGATGAACTGGAGGATCTGGATGAAACCATTGATGAACATTTAAAAAACCATGAAGATCTCCAGCAACTGGTGACTGAATGTGGAAGAAGGTTTTACTGTTTCAATAACAAGTGTAAATCAGACAATCAGAAACAAGAACTACTGCAGAAGATTGAAGAAATGATAATTGAGAACAGACGGAAATTTACCATGGAACAAATGAAGAGGAGTGACAGCAAAGACACTTTTATCAATTGTAAGTGGTTTATATATCAATTGTGAATTATCTCAGTAATAAAATATGATGGCAGTCACTAAGGGTAATGGCTGAAAAATGCAAAAGGGTCTGGCTGCAGCCTTGCGCTTGCACTCTCAGACACTTGCGCTTCCGCTAGCGACATCACTTGCAGTCTTTATTTTTTTATTTTGTTTTATTTATTTGATCTTTTTGTTTGAATCTCTCAACATTTTACAACAGTAGCCAGGTGGTGAAGACAAGACAAAATAAACTAAATTACGAAGTCACTTGCAATCGGCGCTTGCACTCTCCGATACCTGCGACGTCACTTGCAATCGACACAAATCGTGCGTGTTGCCAATGGAGACAAGACTCTGTGGTGGTGATTAAACGATTACAACTAGTTTAGTACTATAACGTACAGGGTCCTGCAAGAAAAAGACAAGACCCGCAAATCCGTGGCCACAGAACAACAGAATATGAACGCAATGCACAAAGTCTCTCGTTAAGCGTTTTCCTCCTGTAGAAAAACATAAACACTTAACATGGCGTAATGTATTAAGATGCTATTAAAATATCAAATAAAATATACAATTTATTAATATAATGAATATGTATATAGTATTTTCCTCCCATACCGCAAAATGTGGCATAATGGACTAAGATGATAAAGACCAAACTCAATGCTCTT